CCGGCCAGGGAGGAGGGAGGCTCCAGCTGTGTTGCTTGGCTGCCCGCCCCGCCCCCCTCCGGCCTCCTCTCACCAGCCTCGGCCCCCGGGAGCCCCTCCCCGCTGGGACTGGTGGGAGCCTCGGGCCCTTCCGCCACCATCCTCCTTGCGGCCGCCGAACTGAGCGTCTCTGCCTGGGGCCTCCCCTCTGCCCGTCACCACCGCTCCCGCTAGGCCGTACTGCAGCTGTGCCGCCAAAGGACCCGAATGAGATGGGCAGCCTGGCATGGTCTATGAATTGATGAGGAGCCTTGAGAGGAGAGCGAGGGCAACCATAGAGAAAGCAGTTCAGAGAGAGGAGGAGGAGGAGGCGGAGGCGAGGGCAGATGTTCCAAGGGCTACAAAGGAAGGACTGCAAGCGCTTCTCCCATAGATCTGTAGTGGTAGACTAGCATAGATGGTCTGATCTGTGGGTTTACTTCAGGCGCTATTTCCCTCCCCCCCCTTCCTCCCGCCCCACCTGATGGAATTGAGAGCTGCAGATGGAGCATGAGAGAAAAGATACAGAACTGCAGAGGCATCTTCGTAGCTTGGACTTCGTTTTGCGCAAAAAGTAGTTGCTGCTTGTAGTTATTTAATTGCAGTGTTTCATCGGCTGGTGTCTTGAGCAGCAACCTCTGGAAACGAAGGGCTAAAAACCAACGCTGCTCTCCCAAATTATCTGGTCCCTTTTAACTGGTTGACTAAAATCCCTTATTTTCAAGGCTGCTGGTCCCTTATTTTAAAATCTGTAAGTTGACAGCTATGATCTGGATTTTACTTCCCCAGATGTCAGAACTGAAATTAAACAAAAACTTTGTAAATAAAAAAAGAAAGGGAAGCAGAATGAGGGGCATTGCCAGTCAGTTTTCATATAATGAAGCCCTCAAATAGCATACTCAGCTATTAAAAACATTCTCAAGCAGAAAGCCCTTTGTGCCAAAGGCAAAATGATACTAAGAAGGCTAAGACCGAGAACACTAACAATATTTTAACACTGACTGTGTGACTTAAGGCAGTTGAATGTGAGGTGCAGGTTGCTCCTGTACAAATGGTTGCCAAAGTAGAGCTGGAAAACATGACTTCACCACAGCAATACCCTTGGTACGGACGGGGAACAACCGAGCTGCATGTCCCAATATCCGTCGGTCTGGCGCCACTATTTTTAAAAGCTATTTGTAGAACTATTTGCATCCATATATTTCTATCGTTATTTTTGGTCTTCTAGATGTAGACTTTCTCTCCCTCCCCTCTCCCCCTTTTTTCTGGTAGCAGTGCAAGGAAAAATGTGTGTGTGTGTGTGTGTGTGTGTGTGTGTGTATGTGTCCCGCCAAAGTAATGGAAATGGAAATGGCACTGCCGACTTGTTTTAACAATTTGTTTTCAATCGTTCAGAGCTCTGATCCTTTCCAAGTATATGAGTAAGAAATGGGTTTGTACGCATTTCTTGCTGACTTTGATGAAGCACGACGCAGAGCGCTGGCCTATCCCAACAGTTGGCAACTAGACATTTTCTGTGTGCCTGTGTGATGTTTGAGGATGAGGGGAGACAGGCCAAGTCCTTTGCTCAGGTCCCCAGGGCTCTGTCTAGGTTCCAAGGCCTACCCCTACTATGCCTCCATCACTTCCTGGTTGCCCTGGTAACAGAGGCAGCCTTTGGCAATCTCCTGTTTGGAGGATGGGGTGGGGGTGGGAATCAATGAAGTCCTGCCTGGTTAACGGCCGGCCCACTTAGGCCCCATGTATCAATGGCTGCTAAACCTGATGCATATGTTCTACCTCCACTGTCAGAGCGGAGAGTGTTATTGTGCTTAGGCCCTGCTTGCAGTATCTGGTTGATCACTGGGGGTCTGGCTGGTCACTGTGAGAACAGGATGCTCAGTGATACAGACCAGATTGGCTTCCTCATCTATATATAGTGGTACCTCGGGTTACATATGCTTCAGGTTACATACGCTTCAGGTTACAGACTCCACTAACCCAGAAATATTACCTCGGGTTAAGAACTTTGCTTCAGGATGAGAACAGAAATCGTGCTCCGGCAGCGCAGCGGCAGCAGGAAGCATTAGCTAAAGTGGTGCTTCAGGTTAAGAACAGTTTCAGGTTAAGACTGGACCTCCGGAATGAATTAAGTACTTAACCCGAGATACCACTGTACCCTCCAACATTTCCCCCATGAAAATAGGGGCATCCTTTTCCATCATCATCATCATCACCATATTATTATTATTATTATTTATTATTTATTATTTATTATTATTACCCTGTCCATTTGTCTGGCTTGCCCCAGCCAGTCTGGGCAGCATCCAGCATATATAAATACACAATAAAGCATTAAACATTAAATAAACGCCCTATATAGATATAGAACCGCCCTTCTAAAGGCTGTATAGTTACTTATTTCCTTGGCTCTCCACAAGCCGTCATCATAGTGGAAGTCTTCTTCCAGCTGGGAGGGGAGGGAGGGGTCCGCCTTGGGTGTCAGGTCAGAGACCCTGACTCTTCTGCGGAAGAGGAGACAAACAGGGGTCTCAAGTCTCCAGCCCCATGATTTGATTTGGGGTCTCTCTTGGGGTTCAGTGTTTGAACAGGGGAAGGAAGAAGGCATGTATTTCTCCCGTCACATAACAGATGGATGAACACTTTGAGGACCATGTGCATTTTGATGTCTGCTTCTATGGCATTTTTGCGTTTTAAATCTTTGGAGGCTCTTTTCAGGCTCTTTGGGAAAAACAGTTAATAAATGTAATTAATCATAGTAAGGATGATGATACCGTGGTACCTCGGGTTACATACGCTTCAGATTACATACGCTTCAGGTTACAGACTCTGCTAACCCAGAAATAGTGCTTCAGGTTAAGAACTTTGCTTCAGGATGAGAACAGAAATCGGGCTCTGGCGGTGCGGCGGCAGCAGGAGGCCCCATTAGCTAAAGTGGTGCTTCAGGTTAAGAACAGTTTCAGGTTAAGAACAGACCTCTGAAACAAATTAAGTACTTAACCCGAGGTACCATTGTAATTCAATGGGCTCAAGATCCTTTGCTCCACTTTCCACATAGGAAAGCAAGTGGCTCATTCTGGCTACTCCTGATCAGGGCCAGGAAAACCCCCTGGCCAGTCACCCAGTGTTATAATGCTGAATTACCCTGATGTTTTCTACATCAAGTCTCCCCAAAGCTGGATGTTGCTACGGGACTCCAACTCCCCTCCTCTCCCTGATCCCCTGGACCTGCTGTATGGGGCTGATGGGACTTGGGAAACTAATTCAAGGCCCTGGAAATGTAGCTGAGGAAGAAATCACCCAAGGGTGCAAGGTGGGTGCCCTGGGGTGTGTATTTTAGGGTTGAGTGAAAAATGATCTCCCAGAATTCCTCATCCTATTTGTGGGTGGTGAAACTGGGGGTGGGGGAGTATTCTCCTGAATATTTGGGATGGGGGCAGGATGGTAATTCTGTTTGAATTTGGACGGTGACAAAAAAGGAACCTCAGAAAATTCATCAGAAAACTCGCTGGGAAAGTTGCCGGCTCATGTAACACCCAGCATGGGATTTAGAAAGGTCAAATAACCAAGGTCCTTGGTCCACGGAGCATCTTTAAAAACTGGGCATGTGGTGGGGGCACGAATCTTCGGGATTCTTTCCCATGACTTTACCTTCTGCGCAACCAGCGGCATTTTATGCAACAAGTCTGGAAAACCGGAAAGGTCCAGAAAGTCGGTCAATCCATCTGAACCGCTTTCAACACAAGAACAGAAGAATGGCTGCTCTCTGGCTGCTGACTGCTCCAACTGACTGGGCTTTCAGCTTTCAAGAAACTCACCTGGCCTCCTAGGAAACAAAACATTCCCCAGGATTCCGCAGCTGCTTGTGAGGTCAGAGCCTGGCCAAGGACTGGAGCCAATGGGCTCTGGACTCCAGGAACACTCTCTCTGCCAGGCCCATGGCACCTAGGCAACTTCAGGCAGCTGCCAAGCGTCTAGCCCACTCCTGCATTGACCCCCAAGCAGAAGGCTCAGGCAGCTGGATCTAGGCTCCGAGTTCCCCCAACCCTTCCAACTTTGCACCCCTCTGGAGAATCGAAGGAAATAAGGCAGGCCATGACTGTGGTCCAATATCTGGCACCTCCTTTAAACCCACCTGTTTGCCCAGGAGTTGGTTGGCTCGTGGTCCATCATTTGGTCATGGTGTATCATATGTTCCAGTGGGCTGAATGTTCTTTTAAAAAATCCCCCCCCCTTCATTGTACAGTGGTACCTCAGGTTACAGACGCTTCAGATTACAGACTCCACTAACCCAGAAATAGTACCTCGGGTTAAGAACTTTGCTTCAGGACGAGAAAAGAAATTATGCTTATTTGTGGGTGCGGCTTATATTCGGACCAATTCGGTAATAAGCCTAATACTTTTTGTCTCCTTACTTGCATCTTGTTGGCTACAAACCACAGGCATATTCTGCAACCGGGAGTCCTTGCAGAACTCTCAAGATGGGTATAAGAATGGGCAGTATCCATTATTGCAGTTCGTTGCCATCTGGACAAACCAGAGCCTCAAAAAGCATGAATGGGGTGGGGGGACACTGTGCAGACAGAGGAGGAGAGCTGGGCAGCTGAGTTCCTGAGAAACAAAACAGCTGGCTGTGAAGCCAATACTTTTAAGATCTTCTGCAGCTCTAGGGGCTGTTAAACAACGTGGTTAGCCACAGATTGTCTTATGGAAACAAGTTTGTGTGTGTGTGTGAGTTAGTCTGAGAGAGAGACAGAGAGAGATTTTAGTGGATGGGATTGGAAAGGAACAGGGTGCATAAGGGCGACATGCCTAATAAAAATACATGCTCCACGATTAATGTTCTGTTGCTTTTTACTAGTAACATATTTCCCCTTTTCTTTAAAATACTGTCCAAGACTTCAGATGAACTTTTCAGCACAGCATTATGGGGAGGGAAAGAAGGTGGTGGTAGTAGTTTTGGTGCTTATTTTTCTCCTTACCTTTTACTGGACATTGCAGTGCAACGCTCACTCCTGTTCTTGCCAGAATTGTGCCTCCAACAGTTGCAGAAAAGTTCCGGAGCTCAAAATTTGTGATGTTTGTTACAGAAAACAGTATGGTGGGAGCCTCTGCAAAAGACAGAATAGGGTGAGGGGAGCGAGAAGAAACAATCATTAACTAGTCTGAGAATTCGGACTCTTAAGTCACACTTAGGTGTGACCAAGAAATAATGTAATAAGGGAGGGGCTATGCAGATGGGAGCTCTACACTGGTGGGTGTTGGGGACGCAGGTGGCGCTGTGGGTTAAACCACAGAGCCTAGGACTTGTCGATCGGAAGGTTGGCGGTTCGAATCCCCGTGAGAGGGTGAGCTCCCATTGTTCGGTCCCAGCTCCTGCCAACCTAGCAGTTCGAAAGCACAAAAGTGCAAGTAGATAAATAGGCACTGCTCCGGTGGGAAGGTAAACAGTGTTTCCGTGCGCTGCTCTGGTTTCGCCAGAAGCGGCTTAGTCCTGCTGGCCACATGACCTGGAAGCTGTACGCCGGCTCCCTCGGCCTATAGAACGAGATGAGCGCACAACCCCAGAGTCATCCACGACTGGACCTAACAGTCAGGGGTACCTTTACCTTTACACAGATGGGAGCTCTACACTGGTGGGAGTTGCCCATGTCTTACTTTGCTCTTCCTCATTACTACCATTTCTTCATTACCCCTTACCTGTTAGTCCCCATCAGTTACCTCTCTCAGCAGTCGTGTTTACCTACCCAAGTAAACTCCACTCACCTGTTCTGGCCCCTGTGAGCTAGTTTTTTAAATCATTCAATTTATGTATCATTTCACATGGCCAGAGGAGTTCCAAAACAATTAACAGGGACAATAACATGCAAATACACCGTGGAAAAACGTTAAAATAAAAGAAATATATGGAAAGTTTAAAAATGTTTTTATATATTCTAAATGCTTTGAAATGTTTTGAGTTGGATTTTAAAATGTTTTGAAACACTTTAAGCATGTTTTGTTTGTTTTAAATTGAATTGTTTTTAACCTTCTGATGTTCGTTGCCCGGGGCTTTGTTGGAAGGAAGGGCAGGATATATATATATCACCAACAACATAAAAAATGCCCATATAAATCACCAAAAATCAATGACCCAAAACGTCAGACCATTAGTTCTGTTCAAATGTCCAAGAGAATAAAAACATCTTCAACCGGCCTTTTGCATGAAATAAAAACAATAAACAAATAAATACATGTTGTTTGGGAGGGGAAACAGAAAAAGAAATGGGACAATTGTTCATGGTAAAGAAAGTGGGAAAGCAATTAAATTAAATGCTACCTGAATAAAACAGAGCAGAAGATTCTGTGTCAGAACCAAAGTCATTCTCCACCATGCAGCGATACACACCCATTTCTTTCCTGGTGGGGTTCAAAATTTGGATTTTCCCACTGTCTTCCAAAACAACTCTGCAGAAGGTTTAAGGAATAGACGAGATTTAACTAGAGACAAGCAAAATTCATTTCGTTCAACACTGGCCTGCTTTGCATTTCACACTAAGCCAAACTCCCAGGTCATTCTGCTGCTGCACCCAAGGTGTATCCTATAGTTTATACCTAGCTCATGGTTTGCCCAGGTCATTAGTAGGGGCACCAGAGAATTCCAACAAACATTCATATTGCTGAGGTTCACTTATTTCTCCAAGCATCAAAATGGAAATCAATCTGGTTGTGGTTGTTTTCTGTCTGCAACCAATATGAAATTGATCACGGGGTGGGATAAGGTAATGACAACATAACTTACGTTGCTAGTTACACGTAAGTTATGTAATTTTGCTGCAGGGGGCAGTGAGATGAGCGACATAGTTTTGGATGGAAGATGAACTGCAGCAGAATAGAAACAGAGCTGCATGAGATAAAGGCACGGCAGAATGAAAAATTTACATCCTTAAGTCATTGGAGAACAACAGTCTGCATTGTGGGCTTCCCATAGGCATCTAGTTGCCCACTGTGGGAAACAGGATGCTGAGCTAAGTAGGCCTTTGGCATGATCCAGAAAGTATGAAACAGACCAGTATCAAGCTCAAGGAGAACACATGCTTTGCCTTCTGTGTGCATCCTGTTCCCCTGCAGTCAAATCTTCCTGGGCGTCTCTTTTCTAACTCTACATCAGCCAAAAAGCACCAACTAGGTTTGCATTTCTTCACAATTCTGAGGTTCATGAATATCATACTCTGTTGAGTAAACAACAGGTCAAATTAATCTCCCATCGCCACTATCTTTAGCCGTGTGCCATTAACAGGGCTGGGTTTGAAGTGGACTCTAATTTTGAAAATGTCGATGGCTACCTTTGATGCCCAAAATGAATGCTAATGTAGTAAAATGAGTAAGGAGGAGGGATTTTCACAGCTGATTCCTTTTTTATATTGTAATTATTTGACAGTGATATCACATGACTCACTGAGAACCACCACAAAAAGCATGGATTCCCTTTTACTTACTTCTCAAAGGACTTTAACTCCATTCCATCTTTTGTCCATGTATACTTAGGGTTGCTAACACCAACAGTTTCACAAAGCAAATGTATAACGCGGGTGTCCTTTGTCAAAAAGACCGTACTCCCAATATGTACGGTTTCCGTTCTGTTCCAAAGAAACTTGGGCCCTTCTTTGTGCCTCACAATAACTGGAGCTTTTTGGCTCATCGTCGATGCATTGCCTTGGGGCTTTGTGCTGAGATTATCAGGCACGTCTGCAGATTTGCCAGGTTTCCTGGAAGGCGACGTTTTGCCTTGAGGCTCCTTCTGCATATCAGAAGCAGAATGCGGTGGTTTGGACAACTCGGCAATCAACTGGTAGACGAGCTGGGAAGCCAATTCGTCATTGACCTCTCCAGCCTCGACAAGGAGACTCAAATTCTTTATCAGCTCCTCGAAATGTACTGTATCCATACTGTAGGCACCAGGGAGAACCACTGCCTCCAGCCGCTTATTTTTGAATTCACGAGAGCCATGCTCTTCCGCTGAATTTCTCATTCGAGTTTCCAGGTGTCGCAGAAAAGGCTGGTCGTTCACCTGCCCATCACCCAGATACTGCTCGCTCTTCTGGCTCCACAGTTGCCACATCTGACTCATTTTGTGCCACTTCGCTCCAAAGCTGTTGGCCTCGTTGCGCTCTGTGCTGCTGCTCTCACTGGTGTGCTTACCAAAAGAGGGCGGTTCTATCAGCTTGTTGTCTGTGCCAATGAGCTTAAGGACAAACGTCTCCTGCGCTGAGCCTGCAATACACTTGTACACCCCGATATCCGAAGCCTCAAGACTGTTGACCTTGAGCGATCCCGATTTAGTGACGCCAAGTCGCTTAGAGATCTGGAGGTGCTGCCCGTCTTTCTCCCATTGGATAAGCGACTTTTGGAACCTCCGGACGGGGCACTTAATGACAACAGATGTTTTCGGAAGCAGGTAAGCTCGGCTTCCGATGGTAAAATTTATGCGCTTCTCTTGCCTCGTTTGTATGTAGACTCGGTGGATGCTGAGGATCTGTGGTCCAAGGGAAGCATATTTCCCAAAAAGGTTAGGTTTCATCTCTGAAATGATAAAGTCATAGTGGGGGTGGGTGGAGGTGGGGCGACACATTTGACCACTTTCTTTCCCATCAATGTTTGTTTCATTTCTGCAAACCTCATTTACCCAGAAGTGCTTCCATTCATTGTTTGTCTGAACAGAATATTGAACTTGGTAGATCGATATCCTAAGCCCCAGCAAACTTACCGTATTTTCCCGTGTATAAGACGAGGTTTACCCCAAAATGCTTAAAGTTTAAAATTGGGGGTAGTCTTATACACAGAATGTTGCAATTAAATACAGTGGTACCTCGGGTTACATACACTTCAGGTTACAGACTCCACTAACCCAGAAATAGTACCTCGGGTTAAGAACTTTGCTTCAGGATGAGAACAGAAATCGTGCTCCGGTGGTGCGGCAGCAGCAGGAGGCCCCATTAGCTAAAGTGGCACTTCAGGTTAAGAACAGTTTCAGGTTAAGAACGGACCTCCAGAACGAATTAAGTACTTAACCCGAGGTACCACTGTATACAAATAAATACCGTACATGCTGCCATACATGCTCTGGCTGTTGCAGCTCCTCACAAGGGAGGGGCGCACTGAGGGGCCTCCAGAGTCTGCCTACCCCCTCCCACTCAGTCGCCCTACAGCTGGGGGGGGGGAGGCAGAGCAGAGCCTGCGCGTTCCCAAGGGGCAGAGTGCAGTTCGCTCCCCTGGATGTTTGAGAGTGGAGCAGAAAAAAAATTATTTGACTTCTACAGTTCCCGGCCGCCGGGGACACGCTCTCGTTCACACTCTCCCTCATGCTAAGCTGCCTGGCTCCGCCACCGCTCCAGTTGGCCGAGGGGATCGAAGTCATCTCCCCCCTCCATGCCTTGCCCAGCAGAGAAACTGCAGGCCTTGCACCCCTCCTGGGCAGTGGTGCGCCACCCGCCCACGACTCCCCCGATCTCCTGCCCTCTTCCCCCTTCGTTTTGACAGATCGGGGGAGGCAGCGAACCATATGTTTCCACCCGTCACCCGTCCCTAGAAAAACGTGAGGGGTAGGAAGATAGTTCTTCTAGCTGTAGGGCGGCTGAGTGGGAGGGGGCATCCAGACTATGGAGGCCCTGCTGTGTGCCCCTCCCCTCCCTGCAAGGAGCTCAGCGATGGCACCCAGGGCAGGCTGACAGGAGCAGCCGCCATTACACAGCTTGCCTCACTGTTTGACGTTTAAAATATTTATTTCTTAATTTTGGGCTCAAAAAATAGGGGTCACCTTATACATGGGGGCATCTTATAGATGGAAAAATACGGTACTTAGAATCAAGTCTCACTAATTTCCATGGGACTTACTTCTAAGTGAGAATTGCACTATAAGACTCAAATATCAGTTCACATCTGGACTATCTGAAGATCTTAGTATATTCATCTGTGATTTGGGTAAAAAACAGTAACATGTGTAGAAAGCTAGCTTTCTTCATACAGGGAGTTTTAAAACAGCAGCAACAGCATGGAAGCACATTAAGAAACACTGTGCCCCCACATGCCTTCTGAATTGAGAATTTCCTCTTTCCCCTCTATTTCATAAAGCCATCGGTGTGTTCTGTGACATCAGCAGTTATTAAATACTTGTCTTCATCTCAGACCTATTTGCATGCTCAGCAACCAACACAACTCAGACCAAGTTTTCCATGCTTAACAGACTTGGATATAAAGGGCCAAATATGAACATGGGCATGCAGTGATGAGTAATAACCAGCACAGTTACCTGCCAGAAATAAAAGTGGGGGACAGTTCAGAATGTGGGAAGAAAGAGATGAAAATGAGCACTCTGACAGAGAGACAGAGAGGGAAGCAAGGAGCCAAAGCATGCGAAGGTAGGCAAAGCAATCTGGGAAAGGAAACTGGGACTCCCTTTCCCTCATCCACTCATCTGCTATATACTTTTATTGCCACATTTCCACATGCATTCCCACTACTGACTGGGAATCTCTCTAGTGAATTAAGTCTTGGCTGGTCAGTTATGGCCAATGAGGACAACAGCTGATTTAAGACCTGTGTATTCATCAAGCCGCAGTCAGCTGTTTCATTTCTGCACAAGAAATAAATTGCCTCGGGTTCTGAGTTTATTGAAAGAAGTGCACTTCATCATAATAACGATGCAGTTCAAAATATTTGTCTCAATGGAAATCCTCCAGCATTTAAGTTGTCCCCATTTCCAAAAGTCCAGAATGCATGGAGAGCAAGTGTGACTTAAAAATTAAAACATGTTTTAGCTGTCCTGGGCTTACTCCAAACTATTCCAACCAAGTATCAATGCGATACATAGCTATGAATATGCACGAAAGCATCTAAATGGCAAAGCTGCTCAGTTATTCTCCTCCCACCCTTCATCCCTTGATTTTAAAGAAAGATGGCTGGATTTCTTCTCTTTGGCAAAGCAGAGCCATGTCAGTCGGTTGGCCTACTGCATTTGCACAGGTGGCTTGTATGAGAGAAAGAAAAACACATTCCATTTGGGAAGCAGAAGGACAGGTATTAGGTCTATGTTCTGTGTTGGCAGGTGCGTTGTAGCGCCCCATAAAACAACCACTTCTCAACATCTTTGGAAGAGGCTGTGCTTTGCTCCTCGCTGCCATCAGAGGTGCGGTTGGCAGTGATGGGGAACACAGAAAATCTCAGTTGTAACTCCAGAGTTGTAGAACAAGGTAGCTTGACACCAGATAAGTACCGTATTTTTCGCTCTATAAGACGCACCAGACCATAAGATGCACCTAGTTTTTGGAGGAGGAAAACAAGAAAAAAAATATTCTGAATCTCAGAAGCCAGAACAACAAGAGGGATCGCTGCGCAGCGAAAGCAGCGATCCCTCTTGCTGTTCTGGCTTCTGGGATAGCTGCACAGCCTGCATTCGCTCCATAAGACACACACACATTTCCCTTTACTTTTAAGGAGGGGAAAAGTAAGCCTTATAGAGCAAAAAATATGGTAGTTTTGTCCAGCTCACTCTGCAGAACTTCCATGGGCTCAGGCAAAAAGGCCTTTTCTCCATCAGAGTGTATTTTCTCTCTTTTTTCCAGTTATATTTCATTAAATTTTAAAAAAATTCACCTATATATTCCAATACACAATATTTTTTCTTTTGGTTTGTCAACTTCCCACCCTGTTTTCCCGGGTGTTTTTCAATTGCTCCCCCTTCCTACACCCTATCTTCTCTGCCTTACACAATACCTCTAATTTCTTCTGTGGCTCATAGTTTAAATTCTGCTCACAAACTCATCACACTATAATACTTCTGTAAATAGTCTGAAGAAGCCTTCCATTCTTCCACAAAACAATCACCATTAAGTTCTCTTATTTTAGCTGTTAACTTTGCCAATTCCAGAAAGTGCATTTTCCCCCTTTAAACTGGAGGAAGCATAGCAAGCTGTGCTCTGTATAGGGACGGGTCAACAGATCAATTCTGGTTCCCCATTTTCTAATCTTAAATTTAGTTCTCCACATTCGCACATCAGCTTCGATTATTTATTTATTTTAAAAGATGTCCTTGTGAAAATTCACCAGCATTTTAGCGCAGATTTCCCCTAATATACATATCTTTGTAAAGCACTCCCCCCCCCCCAATATAGCACATTTTTGTATTTTACTTTTGTTAATGCATAATATCTCCTCTACCCTAGTGTATGCCTCACTGTATATATTACTTGGCTGGATAAGTGCATTGCCAAGATTTGGAGAAGTGCAAATTCTGAGTGTTTCGGTTTTCAGTGTAAGGTTTGCGAATTGGGTATGCTGGCCTTTAAATTTGAACTGAATCCATTTCTCCCCCTTTTCCTAACTCTGGATCAAGACCAGGCACTTTGGAGCTTTTTTGTTTTGTTTTTAATGCCCCTAATATAACAGTGGGACGCGTGTGGCGCTGTGGGTTAAACCACAGAGCCTAGGGCTTGCCGATCAGAAGGTCGGCGGTTTGCATCCCCGCGACGGGGTGAGCTCCCGTTTCTCGGTCCCTGCTCCTGCCAACCTAGCAGTTCGAAAGCACGTCAAAGTACAAGTAGATAAATAGGTAAACGGCGGGAAGGTAAACGGTGTTTCCGTGCGCTGCTCTGGTTCACCAGAAGCGGCTTAGTCATGCTGGCCACATGACCCGGAAGCTGTACGCCGGCTCCCTCGGCCAATAAAGCGAGATGCGCGCCGCAACCCCAGAGTCGGTCATGACTGGACCTAATGGTCAGGGGTCCCTTTACCTTTAATATAACTGTGATGTGAGACTTATTGTTCCCTCTGGCTCATCATTATCTACTCGCAGCACCTCTCCAGGGTTTCAGAAAAGGTTCTCTCCAAGCCCTACCTGGACACACCAGGGATCGAACCTGGGACTTCCTGCATGCCAGGCAGATGCTCTACCACTGAGCTATGGCCTTTCCTTTCCCCTAGAGGTCCTTGTGTCCACTAAGCTACAGGCATTTTGACAGGCTGTTAAGACTGTTTTACTCCACCAGGCCTTTGGCCTTGATTGGTTGGTTGTCCGTTCTTCAGGGTGTTTTTTAAGAAAAGCCACAACACATGACTGAGCGATTTCCATCTGGTTTTGCTTGTTCTTTTTCTATTTTATTGTTTCAGTGCTGTCCTTTTACCTGTTTTTAACTTTGCGAAACACTCTGAAAGATGACAGTCAGGAAAAATATATGCAAATCAATAGGCAAATCACTGGGGTTTTGCAGAGGAATGAATTAATACAGTACAATGGCATGTAGCAATGATGTCATGGGACAGATCCTTGGCACACCAAATCAGTAATTCTGCTGAATTTTACAGAGCTATAACTCAGGACTGGTCTGACTAGGTAAGCAACTCAAGTGGTTTTTAAGACTGGTTTTAAAAGACGTTGTTATTTTTATTTAAATACCCCAGCCCTTGGCCAAAGAGCTCAAGGTGCGATTTGTCCTTCATCCTTACAAACAGGTTATCGTAAAAAATATTTTCTCTGTGCCATCTGCACTACCACATTTAAAGCAGCATCGTACCACTTGAAACAGCTGTGGCTGCACCCCAAAGCATTCTGAGGACTGTAGTTTGTTAAGGTTGCTGACATTTGTTAGGAGAACCCTCTTCCCCAACGCGGAGTTACAATTCTCAGAGAGGTTTAACAACCAATCCCTCTTCCCAGGGAACTCTGGAAATTGTAGCACCAGGCTGCATCCGTTGGTTCACTGCCCACTAGCACAAGGACGAGTTATCTTTAATATTCCGCCACAGGGGAATCCAACACAGCACAGCAAGATCTAGCAGGATATCATAGTGCAGACTGAACAATCTATTGTGCAACAAAGTCACCAGCAGCGTGCTTATGCATTGTTTTGCACAACGTTTCATTGGTGAAACATCTTTTCAGGGATGCAAGCATACAGTTAAGTAGTTTTAACTTAGCGCTCCAACCTCATTCAATGTCCGCTGTATTGTTTTTCGTTTTGTTGAAATTTTTAAATTGATTTAATTGACTGTTTTATCATGTTTGTTAGACACTTTGGGCTCCAGTAGGAGGAAACTTGGGGTACAAGCATCATGAATGATTGGATGAATGATAGACAGACAGATATTGCATTTATATTCCACCTTTTATCTAAGGATCTCAAGGTGGTATCCCCACAACAACCCTGTGAGGTAAGTTAAGCTGAGAGGCAGGGACTGGCCACAGGCCAGCCAGTGAGTTTCATGGCCAAGTGGGGATTTGAGCTCTGGCCTTCTAGGCAGTGGCGTAGCGTGGGTTGTCAGCACCCGGGGCAAGGCAAGTAATTTGCGCCCCCTAACCCGTGGATTTGCGCCCCCTTACCCGTGGATTTGCCCTAACCCCAGATGTTGCGCCCGGTGCGGCCGGCCCCCCCTGCACCCTCCACGCTACGCCACTGCTTCTAGGCCCTAGTCTGACACTCTAACCACTACACCAGACTGTCTCTCCATTCACTGCCTAATTCCAGAGCTGAGCCACACAACCAGCAGAGTCATGCAGTCTACCTCTTACTGGTGAGATAACAGTCCAACAAGAGCTTGCCCACATGATTCTGCTGGTTGTGCAGCATGGTTCTGAGATAGAGATGAACATAAACCCTTGCCATAAGCAACTCAAGAAACTGAATTAATGTAATGTTTTCCCAAAGCTTCCTTCTTTTAACAAAACATGTTTCGAACCACCCTCATTTCTGTTTCCCCATATTACTTCCCTTCTTTCAATAGCAGGACCTAACCATGTTTCTTCAGCGTTATACTCCACCAAGCAATGTGCAGACTGGACACACTGCCACGCAAATATCCACAATTAATTAAATTCAGAGAGATATGCAGCTCGAAAATATTTTATTAAATGCCGCGCCAAGGACATTCCTTCAAGTCCGTGGAGCTTTATTTAAAGTGGTGTTTTGTACCTCAGGATCTTGGCATGTTAACTGGCAATGAAGTCCAAGAAAAGAGGTTTCATATTATGTATGAACCAATAATTACGCTAGCTCCTATTTTGTTTGGTGCCTTGTTTTTAATGCGGAGTTACGGCATGTAGCCAAGCAGCCACAGAAGGCAATTAAACTCAAGGAGATGCCTGCACTGGGGCCCCACACCTGATCCAAGGAAACTGTCTTCAACCTGTCTCTTAATTCAGGTCTCCAGGCAGTGAGTACCAAAGCAGCTGCACAAGGCCTCAGAACCATGATTGGTTCAAAGAAAACCCTCCCTCCTCCCCATATACTGTAAGGGGCTCTGAGAGGCCATACAGTTAAACCCTCTGCTTAAATTCTGTGGGTTGAAGCCAACGTAGCGCTAAGTTAAAGTCACTTAGCAGCCTGCTTGTTTTGCTGGCAAGATGCTTTGCGCCGGAGGAGTATTGTTGCACAAGAGCAGGTTGCTGGTTGCACAATATTACCATGTGCAACGAGTTTCTGCTGGCACAGCTAGTGCATTAGGTTCCTCTGTTGCACAACATTAAAATTCACCTGTCCGCTGGTGAAAGAGCCCTTGCATTTGCGAACAGAGAATGTTGGACAGAGCCCTGTAACTTTATTCCTGCTCGCCCCCCATTGCAATTTTCACCAATCAAACATGTCAGCCCATGCCAAAGCAAACTACGCCACAAGCAGAGAGCAGATTGCTGTAAAATGCTTCGTGTCTTTGTTTATGTATGCATATATTTTTTTAAAGAGCACATCTAAAATGTAAAGTGTGCATGCATTGTGCAGGTACACTCTTCATAATAATACAAGAGTCCTATTGCACCACACCTGGGGTGACAATCTATTTCCAACAGTGATCAGTGAGGATGCTGCTGAGAAGCCTATAAGCAGGGCGTGTAGGTAAGAGCCCTCCCTCATGGCTGTTTTATTCCCAGTAACTGAAATTATTCTGAATAAGGTTCTATTGAGCCATCATCAAGGGACACGGGTGGTGCTGTGGGTTAAACCACAGAGCCTAGGACTTGGCGATCAGAAGGTCAGCGGTTCGAATCCCCGCAACGGGATGAGCTCCTGTTGCTCGGTCCCAGCTCCTGCCAACCTAGCAGTTCGAAAGAACGTCAAAGTGCAAGTAGATAAATAGGTACCACTCCAGTGGGAAGGTAAATGGTGTTTCCATGTGCTGCTCTGGTTCGCCAGAAGCGGCTTAGTCATGCTGGCCACATGACCCAGAAGCTGTACGCCGGCTCCCTCGGCCAATAAAGCGAGATGAGCGCCGCAACCCCAGAGTCAGTCACGACTGGACCTAATGGTCAGGTGTCCCCTTTACCTTTATTGAGCCTATCATAGCTAGCAGCTGCTATGACTTTCTCTACGCTTTCTTTACAGCTCTTCAAGCAGGTGGCCTTCACCACATCCTGCAGCACTGAGTTCCATCACTGAACGATGGCATTGTGTGAAAAAGCACTTCCTTTCACCTGGATTGGCTACAGCTCCCTGCTGAGTTCATACTTGGTGCCAAAGTACTTTTGAAACTACGGGAGCTCTCAAAAGGAGATGATGATATAGCATGGAGGAGATGGGGGAGTAAAAAACCAAAACCCCTCCTGATTTGGCCCGGATCCCGGAGCTTGTGTACAATACAGTTTTTGCCAAGTTCTCTCCCATATTAAGTCATTGACATTAAAGCCCTCTCACCTCCTTTTAAAGCACGAAAGGAATACATGGATTTAGTTGGGGGAATTATACATATACATATGCAAGGTAATGACACTTAAGGATTTTTTTCGCAAGCAGACACAGTGGCTGCAATTCTAAATGTGCTTATGCTGGCAGAGCCCCACTGACCTCAGCAGGGCTCTGCGGCTGCCAGAGCAAGCACATTCAAGACTGCAGCCGGGATCTGTTTGCACAAAAGACCAGTCAGATGCCTAATTTGTTATTATTTTACATGTACACTTACCACCCTTGCAGGCGCTTTCAAAAGCAACCGTACAAAGCAAAGTGCAGACACCCTTTTCAAGACTTCTGGCAACAAGGGGAAGAAAGAAAGAAAGAAAGAAAGAAAGAAAGAAAGAAAGAAAGAAGAAAGAAAAGGCATCTTCTGTCTCCTATGCACACTGGAACACTCTAATAACAATCCTAAGGCTGCAATCCTATGCACACTTAATTGGGAATGCAGGACTCAGGTCTGGGCAAATATATATATAAGATTGGGCTACTCATTAGAACAGCAGCCAAGTTCTGCTGAGCCAGGCTTGGAAATTAACTTCAGGGGCTCGTAAAAGTCTCCAAATTCTGCTCAAGTGCAGATCTGAACTGGAGAACAATTACTAGCTTGCCCATCTCCAAAAACCTTTCTGTGTTCCCACCACCTGCCATCCAAAACAGGAGCGTTACTAAGCCCTTGAAAGACATTTGTACAAAATTTGCACGTGCGAATTTATGTGCATAAATGCAAATTTAGGCTGTCTTTCAGAGAGCAAAATTTTAAAAAAAGTTAACACTGATATCAAATTGACCGAAGTCTGCTGCTACTGCATGACTGCAGCCAGATATTGTCAAATGCTGACTCACTGCAGCTGCATACGGAAGATCAAATATAGAAACGATATTTATGTGTGCAGACAATTAGGACTCCACCTAAGTATAGATGTGTGGCTGTCTGTGGACCTGTAAGTCAGCAAAAGCCTTCTAGGAAATAATTTATAATGAGATTAAAAAAATGTTTAAAATAACTTTTGTTAAAAAACTAGAGGCTTTTTCATTAGGTATAATAGGGGAAGAGACCCCGAAAGGATTTATGTATGTGAAAACAACAGCAAGAATGTTATATATGCCCAAGGATGGAAGGAAGAAAGAACCCCATCGAAAGAAGAATGGATATTGAAGCTAATAGACTATGCAGAAATGGCGAAATTGATTGGGAAGATTAGACATCAAGAAGACAAAAAAATTAGAAATGAATGGATTAATTTTATAGAATATATGAAGGAGCGTTGCAAACATTTAAAAACATTACAAGGATTGGATTAGCACCTGTAATATAATTTGATAAAAGGTATTGAAAAAGGAGATTTTATAGATTGGATAAAAGTATTTAGTCGCAGAAAAGAGAAGAAATAAATATTGGAAACTGGGGAACGGGTGGGGTGAAGTCTGGTGGTTGAAGGAACCCCTATAAAGATAGTGAAATTGTTATGGACGAATGCAATTAATATTGTATGCAAAAATATATATACAGATATGTTTCTGTTTGTAAAGCATAGCCTACACACAGTATGGTAACAATAATAAATCAGGGCTCTTTTCTCCCAAGCAACCTGGAAAAATGTGTCACTTACTGTTACAGGCACTCATGTGACATGGCCTTGACAGTGGGGGCACCGGGAGGTCGGCACACATAGATCTGTTTAATGCAACATGCTGGCCTTTGGCTGTGAGTTTCTGGCAGGTAGCCTTCCTCCTTTGCGTCCCGACACCACAGCTTACAGAGCACTGCAAAAGAAATGAAGCAATTGTCGTGTCCCACATGTGCCAACCTGACATAAGGTTGTGCACACTCAATATTTTATTCTAGAATCAATGGAGACCGAGTTCTTTTCTTCGGCCTAGTCTACAACACAATCCAGACCTACTGGATATTTCTTGCTCCTGGAAAGCACAAGAAACGGTTGACAAACGGTTTTCATTCTGAAAAGTGAAGCGGATTGATTCTGCCTTACTCCACAGTGGGTTCATTCAAAAACAGGTGGCAGGCGGTCCCAGCAATGAAGGGCATGTGTATGTGTGTCTGTACCATCACATTGTGAGGGGGCATATACCAAGATAGCAAGAGGAGGTTTTTCAAACGTGTAATCTAATCGAGAGGGTTTCAAACACATTCTCAAGGAACCAAGGATTGCTCAAGGATGAGCAATCAATCCAGATTGAAAGTAAAATGTTGAGAATGAGCATGAATGATTCCATATTAAGAGAAACCATAGTTAAGTATTTTAGACAAAGAGATCCAAAAAAATTCAAGAGAGTTATTCTTGTATGCAACTGCAGCGGCTCAAATACTCGTGGCCAAGGGATGGAAAGATCAGGAGGCTCCAAAAATAAGAGATTGGCAAATTAAATTACAGGAATTTGTGGAGATGGCTCAACTGACCAGCAAACTCAGAATAAACTCAAAGCAAAAATTTGCGGAAAAATCGGATGGTTATAGAAGATATGTTCAAAAATACAATAATAGTTTTGACTCCGTGCTAGCATTTGAGTGACAAAGGAAGTAAAAGGAGGTGGATAACAATGATTTATTATGTTTTCTGAATGTATTGGAAAATTTATATAGAAAGGTTTATTGTTTTTGTTAAGTCGTGGGTTGACATAGCAGCCGGCACAGCGATTTCTTCAAGTAGCTCTTTATTATGGTAAGCTGGAATAGAACTGACTGCGAACAGCTCAGCCGGCCTGTATTTATAGGCAGCCGGCTGTCAACATTGTAACCACAACAGCCCAGAGTTCCCGCCTAAAATAACTGGCGCGGACCTGAGTGAAAACTATCTACAGACCTGAGTGAAAACTATATACAGTATCCCCCTGTTGGCCCAGGGTGAAACTACACTACATAACACCCCTCCCCACCGAGATAAGGCGTTAGTTACAATCGTAATGGTTTCCTTATATACAGCACTACGCATAATGGTTCAATTAGGCACAAAAGCATATCGGTTACATTTCCCATACTTAGACCAACAGTGATACCTGTCCAACAACATAGTCCTTTAAATGAGTTGGGCGCTTGGAAACTCTGCCAGACCGCCGGGGACTGGTAGCCAAGTCCGGAGGGCCACACAGTTCTCGCTGAGGCTGTGGTGCGACCCTAGGTGGCGTTGGAACCAACTCCCCTGGATCCGCTGCTGTGAGTGGAGCCTCCGCAAGTGGAGTGGTCTGAGTCTGTTCTGAAACGGCTTGGTTCGGCTCCACGCTGGCAGTTTGCGAGGGAGGTGTAGGTGGGGCCTCGCCATCTGTACGTGTCTCTTCTGGAGCCGCAAGCGCAGTTGGGGGCACCTCGGTAGTGTCCAAGTCCCCAACCCTGCGCCTAAGCTGGTCTATGTGCCGTCGCCACAAGCGTCCGTCTTCGAGTGCCACTGGTACGAGCGAGGTCCAGTGACCCCCACTACTGTGGCTGGCACCCAAGGGATGTCCCCCACATAGTTCCGGGCAAAGACCTGGTTTCCTGGGACAAATGACCGTGGTGCGTTGGCACAGCCTGGGGGTTCAGCCACGGCAAAGTCTGGGTGTAGCCGGTCGAGCGGTGACCTGAGGCGGCGGCCCCATAAGCAGTTCAGCAGGACTCCTCCCTGTGGCCGCATGAGGGGTGATGTGTTGCACGAACAAGTATTCGGCGACCCGCTCATGCCAGTCTCCCCGGTCCAGGCGCGCCAGTGCCTCTTTTGTCGAGCGCACCATTCTTTCCGCTTGCCCATTGCTGGATGGATGAAAGGGTGCCGTTAGGGGCATGGCGGATGCCAGTCCCAAAGATACCGCTCAAACGTGCCTGACGTTGAACTGCGGTCCGTTGTCAGAGACAAGGACATCAGGACACCCATGCGTTGCAAACAGGCCTCGCAGCACCCGGATGACAGCTTCGGTAGTGGTGGAGGGCATCAGGCAACAGGGGGATACTGTATATTAGTTTTCACTCAGGTCTGTAGATAGTTTTCACTCAGGTCCGCGGCAGTTATTTTAGGCGGGAACTCTGGGCTGTTGTGGTTACAATGTTGACAGCCGGCTGCCTATAAATACAGGCCGGCTGAGCTGTTCGCAGTCAGTTCTATTCCAGCTTACCAGAATAAAGAGCTACTTGAAGAAATCGCTGTGCTGGCTGCTATGTCAACCCACGACTTAACACTGGCGACGAAGGTGGGATAGAACTGACTGCGAACAGCTCAGCCGGCCTGTATTTATAGGCAGCCGGCTGTCAACATTGTAACCACAACAGCCCAGAGTTCCCGCCTAAAATAACTGCCGCGGACCTGAGTGAAAACTATCTACAGACCTGAGTGAAAACTATATACAGTATCCCCCTGTTGGCCCAGGGTGAAACTACACTACATAACAAGAACCCTTTTGGTTCCTTAGATCACCTAGCTTGGCTGAAGAGAAGCAGTACTGTCTCTATCATTCACTGCAAAAATCTTCCTCCTAGGCACCATAAATCATCATCCCACAGCCATCTCGTTGGCCACTGTGAGAACAGGAAGCCAGATTCATTGGGCCACTGTCTTGATCTAGCAGGCTCTTCTTATGTTTATCTTCTCACCGTGGCCATAACACCCAAAGCAAAACACAACAACCCCAAAGCTACACCTGCATTCATTTTTTTTGTTCCTGTATATTGTGTCTCATGGGCTAGTTCAAGTAATCACCGTTTATCTTCTTTTGCTTCTTTTTGGGCATATTGTTTGGCTCTTGGAACTCCCCTCCAAGCTGCTGTTATTCTGAAAGATAGCCAGCTGCCTCTTGCCAAGCAATATGCTCCCTTCCTAATCTTTGTGAAATCAAATGGGTGCTGCCTGGTTAGTTTCCATTAACCTAAGCGTAGTAAGTCTTAGCTGCTAAGCAAATTATTTTCCAAGGGAACCTAAGTGGTATATATGCAGTCTATTGTTCCACTTGTGTGGAGAAATCCCGGCTGCATAAACTGGACGGCCATTAAGTGGTTTTGAAATAACGCATGCAGGTTCTGCAATGCACTGAATCACCTTTGTATATTATATCCATCTACTAAGGGGGGCTTCAGTCTCTGAATTGTGTGAAGGGCTGAACCACAAATGCATTGGGGAGTGCCGAAGGATGTTCAATTACAACCCACAAGGACCCTTGCTATATTGCGTGTGAGAGAGGATCCCACGTGACTCTAAGAATAGCCTGTGGCTTGGATCCAAAGCTCCTTGTATGTGACCTGAAGGTTCATCTTTGGTATGGGAAGGTTGGCAATTTCACCCACCCCCAATTTCAACTACCACTGCCATGGTTAGTTCCATAACACATGCAGCTCCAGAGTGCCTTTTCAGGGCAAGTGGGTCACTGCAACCGAGGGAATGAGGATCACTGTCCCCTCAAGGTAGAAGAGAAGCTTTCCATGTGGTTGCATGGAGATCTTGGATCCATGCCAATAAAAGAAATGGTTTTATAACAGAAAGGAGCAATGTAAAATAAATGTATGAAGGAACTTATTTAGATTACCTTTTTTTTAAAAAAAAAGGTTCATAAATACATTTTATTACTTAAATTAAAAAAAACATCGCCCTAATTCCACCAGCTTCATTTCCTTTTTGAATGCGGCCCTTCTAGTTCATTTAACATGAAATAACAGATTTGTGTTGATGGTGTTTTGTTCTTGATAGTGAGAGAAGTTGTTACTGAAAAGAAAAAAATTAGCTACTCACCCTGAAGCAATCACTTACATTCCAGTCCCTGAGTATAAAAAGGAATGAGGAGAGCAGATGGAAGCAAACAAAAATTGTATTAATAATACATAACAAAGTGCTGCCTACAAATGATATTTCAATAGAAGGGGGGGATGTAGGAAAAGTGTAGCTTTCATTGGACCTTAATGTCTTTATCCTTCCCTAATGCTTCCATCTTCCAGAAGCACTCTTTTATTGACACAACAACACAAATTGCAGAAGTAAATTGAATCACGGACTTGGAATGTAAAAATCAATGAGAAATAATTTTGTAGCACTAGAGTGACTAGTGTAATGCTAGGTATTCATTTAATTAACCATGAGCCTTTCCACATAATGCACACTCATTGCCAGCTTTTCAGCTCCTAGTTATTCCAGGAATAATGGGTTTGGGATTCATCTTTAGAAAACTTGCATTAATATTTGAAAGCATTTAAATCCATTAGTGGGTCATCTGAACACTGCAGGTCACTTTTACTTTGCTAATTGAAACAATAGTAATGGGTTATAATCTACGTCTAATAACGCTCAGCGTGTTTTACCGGTTTTATATCTGAAGATTCCAGGAAATATGTAAATTTGTTGCTGAACCATTCTAAAATATGGAAATCTGAGTTACAAACCAAACTTGTTCTTGCAACGGGGGGGACGGGGGGGACACACACACAGCATTAATAAACTGAAGAGTGACATTATATTTTAGTGTCAGGAGAAGTTTCTTTCAATAGACCTTCCAGTGTTCATTGCAATATACGCTGAAGGCTTAACATCTGGCACTCACATTTTCCACATTACGATTAGGAGAAAGTGAATATCATTAAAAACCAGTGAGTAAACAATCATGTCATTGTTTCCATATGTGAGCTATACATTGATTTTGTAAAGCTTCCCCTCCCCTTTACCTCTTTTTTTTTTTTTTTTTGGTCTTACATAAATTTATGCAAATGTTTTGCTTTCCGTACTCCTCTCAAATTACCCAGGTATTTCTGCCTTATGTGACAGTAATTGTGTCATGTGCAAATGTAGGTTTTGTCGCTC